ACAAAATCAAACCAATATCAGTAAATTTTTGCATGCATCAGGAAATTTTGAAGCCTGATTATGATTGGTTGCAAACAGTTAATCGACTGGCTTCAAGTTAATTATCGATTCATATCAAAATTGATAATAACCGCATAATTTTAATCGGCGGTGGTGATGAGAATCGTTTGAAATCTTTAGATTTTAATTGATTGTAATCTAATTTTAAAATCTTCTGACGTGTATGAAATTTGAAATTGAATGTTACTTTGTATGAAATTGGAGTGTCAAAAGGTGTAAAATAAGGTGATTGTCTACGAAATGAGCAGGACCGAGAAAATCAGTTTATAGTATAAATAAACACCAAACGAAAAATCAAGAGCTTGTTCCTTGGATAATAAAAAAAGTTTAAATAAACCGTTACAAGTGTCTCCTTTTATCCATCTTTATTATTCCATCTTTATTATTAACAACTACCTTTTCTCTATCATTAACAATTACCGTTATTGTTTTCTTTATAAACTAACGTAACTATGAGAAATATTTATTTCATAATAAATTTGTTATTACTTATTCTTATATTACAAAGATATTTTATGATTCATGCTTCGATCGAAGGATTAGCGGAATTATGGGGTGTAGATAAAGATTCTGTACCCGGGTTATTGAATATTGAGAAGCACTTATGCATGGTGGATAAACTTTTGAAGCCATTGATAGAAAAAAATGAAGAAAGTTTTGGAGATTCCTATATAGATGTAAAAAAGAATAAAATATTTATCATGATAGTAGATGAAACTAAAAAGGATATTATATCAAATGCATCTGAAATACAGCCGTATAGAAAATTATTAAGATTTGAACAAGTACAAAATCCTCTATCATCCTTAAAAAAATTGGAAAGGAAAATAATCGGAGAGGCACGTACGCATAGTCCAAGGAACGTATATATGTACACCGATATTGAGGTTAATAAAATTGTCTTATATACAAAATATGAAAACGAAGAAATTAATGCAGCGTTTATAAACGCTATCAAACAATATAAACCTGTTATACATTTTTACGGAGGAAAACGACCTCCTAGCCCTAATTCAAGCCCTAATTCAACCCACACTAAGCGTGAAATAGATCGACAAATAATAAATGGAGATGGTATATACCATTTAAATGCCGGTTTTGGATGTACACCGGGTTTTTGGGTAAGAGGTGACGTAGATGAAGATGGGGATGCAGAAAATGATTATATTGTAACTGCAGGACATTGTATTGATTTTAAGAATGAAAATCCTGACCACATAAGATATCGTGGAATTCATCTAAACTCGGAGACAAGATTGGATCAATGGTATATCATGATATAGGAGAAACTGATTTTGGCTTAATCCAAATAACAAATAAAGATATCAAACCAACAAGAAAGATAAGGAATACAAATTCTAATCAATATAGTGAACTACATATAGGAGACGATAATCCTATATCGACCCATAATGCACATTTATGTAAATCTGGCTTGACTACATTTCTTACTTGCGGATACACAAAATCATTCAGTGGTTTTATTTTTAATGGTGGTGCTGTTTATGATGATTTGATTATTACAACCATGCGTGCTGATGTTGGTGATAGTGGTGCACCTGTATTCTATTCGCGAGATTTACCTTTTGTGAGTCTACATGGCATTCACGTAATAGGCTTTCATACCAGAACACGAGAATATATTGCTATAACTGTAAAATCAGAAAATATTCTTGATGGAACTCCAGGATATCTTATTTTAGGTGAATAAAATCCATTATTAAAATTATTAAAATAATTGATCTTTTATATAGAGCTTCGATCCTAATTTTTAAACGCAATTCGAATCAAATTCGGATTCATTGTAATACATTCGATTAAAATTCGAATAGGAATAATCTGGATTCAATTTAGATTAAAAATAAAAAACCCGTAAATATATACATCTTAAATCGAAAAATCTCTTTTTACTGCTGCTGTATAATATAAATTTTGGCAATTATAATTACCTGTGTGTATTGCGCGATTAATTTTGTATAGCTGCTTGTATTTCACATATTACTGTAATAATTGTTTATTCACAATAACTATTAGCGCAATTCAATTACAACCGATCCCGCTTTTTAACTTGAAATCGCATGTTTTGTCTTATCCAGCAGCCGCAAAAATTTTACCATCACATGATTATACATGAGTGTCTAAGCTTACATATCGTCGCCTAGCAAAAATGATATTTGGACAATTTGCTGGTTCCGGATACTAATATTCGGTAATTGTCCGGAGCGTAGCAGAGGACATTTAATGTTTAGTTATGGTGATACAAAAGTTCCATTTTTGATGCATCAAAAGTTACATTCTTGATTAATTCATTAGATATATTATACTGATGCATCAAAAATGTAATTTGAAAAATTCATGTCTGTCCGCACGCGGTCTATATGTTCTATATTTGTACTTTAATGTAACAATGCATGCATATCACGCGTTTGTGCAATATGATGATTATCATGTGGGCTTCCGTCAATAGAAATCAAGCAGATCTACTTTTGAAAAAAAATTACTACTTTAAATTTTACAGCTCATATCTCGATGAATTTTAAAGGTATCTTGATGATTTAATATTCAAAAAAAAGCTTACGACCTAAGCTTTCTTTTAACTATTAAATCATCAAGATATCTTTAAAATTTATCGAAATATGAGCTGTGAAATTTAAGATAGTAATTTTTTTTCAAATGTAGATCTGCTTGATTTTTATTGACAGCAGCCCATGTGTTTCGAACACACATGATGATTGTGACTAATTTACCAAATATGAAAAATCCTCTAACTGGATTATCATATGATATGTAAAAAAAAAATATATATAATAAAAATTATATTTTGTTAGGGGGTTTCCACTTATTATATAATTATAACCTCTCTGTGGTTGTCAATTGACCATTTTCAAGAGTCCCAGAGTCAATCATTTGACAATTACAAAAATTAAAGTAATTAATAAATAATTATATAAATTTTGCATATTTTATAACCCCCTTGCATATTTTTATGTACCCTTGTATAAGTGTGCATGATTATGCATAATTATGCATAATTATACATAAGTATACATGATTACGTAGAATCATGCATGATTATACATAATTATGCATGATTATACATAATCATGCATAATTATACATAATTATACAAAAGGTATATAAAAATATGCAAGGGGGTTATAAAATATGCAAAATTTATATAATTATTTATTAATTACTTTAATTTTTGTAATTGTCAAATGATTGACTCTGGGACTCTTAGAAATGATCAATTGACAATCTCAGGGGGTTATAATTACATAATAAGTGAAATCCTCTTATCAGTATTTATTTTTCACGTGCGCAAAATATGCGTATATATGCAGATCTAATCAAAATTTTAAATAAAGCAATTTAATTGGATCTGCACATATGCGCACACTTTTGCGCATATGAAAAATAAACACTGCCCCTTATATATTTTTCTTTGTCTACCTTTTCTTTATGTTTTTGTTCACTTCTACCTTTTTTTTTTACTTTATTATATATTATATTTTTTTAGATAGTTTGTATTTTTTAAAAAACACTATATCGGCTTACTAGATATATACAAGATTGTGTATATCTTTGTATATAGATTCTGGATTTTGTCATTTTTGGTGTAAGTAAGAATTTTTATTATTAGTTCGAAGTTATAAATTCTTCAGGCTGTCGTTATTTGTATTGGTTTCTTAATTGAACAGTTAAACATAGATAGAATCTATCTATCTGTGTAGATAGGATCATTTTCAATAAAAATCACTACTATCAAAATAGTATTTTTTGTTAAAGATGATCTAGCTGATAAGGTGGCTAGTTGTTTAGAATGAAGTGTCAGACCATTTATTTCTATATATTGTGATACAAAATTACTTTTTTGATATATTATATATTAAAATATCAAAAAAGTAATTTTGCTTTTTCTGTCTGTCTACTCACATAATTTAGGGTTATACAAAAATTTTAGGCTTATTCTACACTTTTACATGTTGTTAATCTATAAAAAAAGAGTGTTTTTTTTGATGCTATATTAAAAATAGGGTTATTTTTTTAAACCTTATTTTTTTATTCTGCACTCTATACATCATTAATCTATAAAAAAAGATAAGTTTTTTTTGGTATTATATTAAAAATAGAGCCTTTTTTAGAGCTCTTTTTTTATATAATATAGTTAATAAACTATTTTTAAAGATATCTTACTATTTATTAGGCCAATTTTAATGATTTAACTATCATTAGAATCATCTCAATGAGCTCTACAACTTTAATTAGAAACTCAAAGATAATTAACTTAGTACAAAAAAGTTTAAAATTCTAATATATTTAAATAAGTTCTAAACAAACCATGCTTTGCATTTACCTAGTTTAATACTAACTTTAGTATTACACTTAGATAAAGAATAGGGGCTACCAAGTAAACCTTTAGAGAAAATGTTTTTCAAAAAGATTGCTGTTAACATATTTAATTGATAGTTTGATGTAGTTTTTGGAATAAGGTCTACTATTTCTTTAAAAAGAAATAGTTAAATTATTTTATAAAGGAAATTTTGTATACTGAGAATTAAAAAAAAATTCTGTATTTACTTAATAGACAATTCATCTATCATCTAGAGAGGATCTGCAAATTTTATAAGTAAATTTTATTATTAAGCCAAATGTAAAGAGATTTCTTCTAAAACTTTTTTCTTATTAAGTAAATCAATCTTGGACTTCTAACAAAAGTTGTAGAACTCATCAAGACACATATAATGGTGGTAAGAATGCTAAAATCGGTTTG